GGACAGAAGCTTCACTGGGGCAGATGGGTCAGTGATTGAGTGCTTGCAGGAAGCTCGCTTAACCAGCTCCCCTCTGCCACTGCCCGATAGAGGCAGCAAGGGGGAAGTGCATGTAGTTGATCAGATTAACCAAAAAGCCCTGGCTTATCGGTTAATTGTTTATTCAATCCTGTGCTAACAACCCTAATATAGATGACAAATGCCATCCACTTCTGATGAATCTAAGCCCATTTTGGAAGACCTTTAGCTCTTCTGGTTAGACTTGCCCAAATAAATCAATGCAGTACTGCCTTTAAGCTAGTTTCAGTGTCTCCACTGTACATTGAGCAGCTAGGCAAAGCATGGATACTTAAACTTGTCAAATGTACTATTGCTATCTCAATTCCATTCTGTTGTTGCTGAACAAAGCCATGAACTGAAGCACATTAGAACCATTAACAAAATTATGATATGACAGCCTGGAGAAGGGTAGATAAGAGGCTTCCAACCACCACCCTTGCAGCAGACAGGAGGTTCTGAGTCTAAGCGGACTGTGTAATAGTAGGACACAGCTAGGATTTGTGCCTTTGTTTTATACTATAAAGAGTTATTTAACCTTACCTGATAATTTTTGAAATTTGCAAGGATGTATTTGACTTGCTCTGCAGCCCCTGTCATGAAAGGCTTTACTCTGTCTGGTTTGTGTTCCTCAAGTCTGGCTTTGATTCTAAGCAAAAGAAAACAAGTTCTTAACTGGAATCTAACAATTTCAGCTGACCAGTAACTTTATGCTCAAAGTGAAGAAGCTTGCCTACTATTGCCAAACCTCTATGGGTAGCATTCCTAACTCTCTCCTCCCTCCCCCAGCCAGCCACTCCCTGACTACTGACAAAAAGGCTCTGGATGCTAAAAAAAGCTATCAATAGTACTTCCATGGCAGGGATGATTGCACAAGGAGACTCATTCAGACCTAGCCCATTTCATTCTTCATCCAGTACAGTCATGAGAATAGGCAGAGTCCCATAGCAGCAACACCACAATTTCAAGAGGCTCAAGATAGGACTTCCAAAATGGAGGGAACACCTTTCACTTGAAGAAAAATGTCTGGATGTTGGATACCACTCTGGATAATCAGAGTTCTATATACAGAAACATAGGCAATTCAACATTTTATGTTTGTCAATTTAAAAAGCTTGCTGGAAATTTAGATTTCTTGTGTAACTCTGAAGCATTCTAGACTTACGCTAGTTCTAGAATGCCTCTCCTCTAAGGCGAGGAGGCCTAATAAGTGTTACTGCATTAAGCCTCATTGTATGGGGTAGAAGAAACATCCTGTGACCCTCTCAATGCAACAGGAGGGCAAAGGAAAACCTCTCTCATATGAACACATCACTACTGCAGCTATGTCTTGTTTCTGAAGTGGTCCCCTATACTCCCATCTTCATGCATCTCAAATGCAGCACTGAAGTTACTCAAGTGTCAAACTGACCACCCTACACAGCACCTACCCATGACTCATTCACTTTTGTGAACATGAAAGTTAGGGAGCTCAAATTTGTGATGTTCCAGTCAGAGGAATTTACGGGTAACACCAATTTGCACTTACGCTTTCATGTAGTCCTTAATGTACTTCTTGTAGGACTCTTTTGTAAAGCTAGTTTCCTGAAGATGGTGATTCATTACTATATCGACACCAGTGACAACTGTGGGATCTGTTCCCTCGTCAGTGCATTCAGTGGAAGCATTGCCACCAATTAAAGAATCAGCAATCTGACCCTCTGTCCTGGTGACCATCTGGATTTAAAGAGATCAAAAGCTTATTAGAGGAAAGTGCCACAGAATTAAATGATACACTGATTAGAAAGACAAGAGTCCTATGCACCTTAAAAAGGACAATTCATTTGGGCATGAGCTTTCGTGGTTAAAAAACTTGTTGTTCATGAAATCTAATGCACAAATAAATGTGTTAGTCTTCAAGGTGTCACAGGACTCCTCAATGTTGAGGATGCAGAGTAACACAGCTACTTTAAAGATGGTATTAACTCAGCCCCACTGAGTACATCAGCCTGCTCAGGAACTGTTCATATTAATGCACAAGTGGACCACAGAGCTACCCCATTATCGCTTAACAGCACCAGTGTTGAACACTCTTGCACTGGCCTACCAGCTAATTAGGGCTAGGACTTCCATACAGCTTAGATATTGATCAAGCACTGGGCTAGTACTCCTATAGGAAGCACTGGCAGGAACTAGAGCCCACCCACACCCACTCTCCGAGGTGTCCTCTAGAGCTCGGGCATTCTCGGACGGGCCAGGCCCTGGAGCGACGTGCTTCGGTCACTAGCAGCAAATCCCGTCACTTTCAGGAAAGGGCTGGAAACGGGAGTTGCCGGACACGCTCGCAGGAGGGCCCAAGGCAGGCGCCCCCCCGCCCACTGCCCCACAGGAACTAGAGCCCACCCACACCCACTCTCCGAGGTGTCCTCTAGAGCTCGGGCATTCTCGGACGGGCCAGGCCCTGGAGCGACGTGCTTCGGTCACTAGCAGCAAATCCCGTCACTTTCAGGAAAGGGCTGGAAACGGGAGTTGCCGGACACGCTCGCAGGAGGGCCCAAGGCAGGCGCCCCCCCGCCCACTGCCCCACGC